TAGAGCAAATGGTAATTGAGTAACCTAAATTAGATTCAAAGGGGGTGCCAGAACCAGAGCTGATTGTTAAATTTTCAATGTGAGCATTTAAATCTCAAAAGTTGGCAAACATTACAAATCAGGGCTTGATTTATTATTGTGTTGATTTTCTAGGCTTAATAAAATGATGGACAAAATGTTAATAATGCAGATTACATTTAAAAGACCATTGTTCCTTTGGAGATCTGGTTGTTAAATATTCACTACAGGTTTAGATCCCTTGAAACTCTCCCCCGATTAAGTGGATCCTCTATTTAAAGCCTGTTTCTGATGCCTCATGGTAGCAGAGGTGACCTTGGGCTCTTGAAGGTGTGCCAGTGGAACATAAGCCCTGACAGGTCCCACCAAACTGGAAAGGCTCTGAATGTGAACCTGGCAATGGGCTGGGTGCCCATCACCTGAGGACCAGTGGGGAAGCTCTGAGAGATTCTCAGCAGAAGATGCATTATTTTCACCTGCAGCAGCTCATGAAACCATCTGCCAAAGTCTAGAGCAGGTGGGGTCTGCATCAGGGGAGGGTCTCTGTGCCCACACCTAAATCCTAAATTCTCAGAGTGCTAGCTAGCTTCCCCCAGTGGTTACTGCTCTCCTCTCACCAGATTATTTTGTTTATTTCCCATATAGATTCATATTTTCTTTCCTATGTGCATGCCATTCTCCCTCCTCAGTAAAATGTCAATTCTGTGAGATCAAAACTCCATTTGTTTTCAGTCTTTCAAATTGATGGCAAGCAGCACCAGCTCTTGGCACGTAGTAGGTCTTCAATAAATCCTTGCTGCATGAATGAAGCTGAAGGTATTTCTTTATTTTTCCTAGCACGACTTTCAATTCCAAACAACTTGGACATATTACTACATTCATCTTTTTAATGTTTTATTTATGCTTTGAGGTTTTTTAACTTGATCCCTGCCTACAAATCCTTCCATTTAATGAAGAAAAACATTTACACAAAAGTAAACAACAAAGCATTTAGCAGAGCATGCAGCATCCCACTGCTGTAGCCCCTGCCTCTCAGGAAGCGTTCTGGGTCAGGACCCTTCCTAGGTGAGGAAAGGATCCCAAGAGATTAGCTAATCCATCACCCTGCTCAGGACAGCTCCGGCAAGAGGACCAACCTATCTGCAGATGTCAAGTAGCTGCTCTGAGAGCCTAGCTGGGAATGTGTCCCTTCATCTTAATCCATGCTCAGAGCTCAGCGAAAAGCAAAGAATCCCTCCTGAAACCTGAGCCCATTGTAAGGTATTTTTTACTACAGTCCCTTCAGAACCATTCACTGTCATGTCACATAATTTCCTTTTCTAGAGTCACATTCTTGGTGATTAGTTCTGTAAAGAATTATGGCGCTCACCCTACAAAAAGGTCTACGTAGCTTCCCACTGCGATAAAGCTGTACTAAGGCGATTTCTTGCATTTTTACCCAAGTGGTCTTTCTTATTTCACTCCCTCTGACTGCTAAATCCTGCCCACTTCCCTTTGGACTCTTAGAAGCATTAGATTGGATAAACGCTTCTGGTTTGGTCTTCAATTTGAAATCATCATCCCCTGAGAGTAATCTCTTGGAACAGGACTGGAGAACTTATTATCAGAATTAACAATGATTCAAGGCAAAAACCTAGAGGCCTTAAATAAGCTTAGCTGTGGTGATGTGGGAAGAGCACTGTGTCTAGTGTCAAAAGCTCTGGGTTCAAATCACTCCTCTGATATATACTGCCCTTGTAACCTCAGTCAAGGCCCTTGATCTTCCTGGGATCTCCGTTTCCTCATTTTACAAATGAAAAAGAGTTGGATTTGATTGTCTTTGAAGTCTCTTCCAGATCTGGGTCTCAGATCTTATTTCTATTAGGTATGGAACAGTCTCTATGTGCTCTCTCTGTCTGTATGTATGTCTCTCTGTGTCTTTCTGTCTGTCTCTGTTTCTGTCTGTCTCTGTCTCTCTCCTTTCTCTGTCTCTGTTTAACTATCTCTCCTTTCTGTCTCTCTCTCTTTGTCTCTGTCTCTCTCTCTATATATATATAAGCATACACACACACACACACACACACACAGAGATGAATAAATAGATGCATCAAACTAGTCTCACGCAAGGAAAGTGTGTCCCCAGCAGAAGACGTGGCATGTGTAGACCAACGTTCTTAAAGGTGCCAGGAAAGCCTTCCCCCTCTCCTAGCCGCCATCGACTTGACAGTGCTTGGAACGCAGTAAGCACTGAATACACACTTACTGGTTGCTGAACAGCTATTATTCCTTAGCACAAGCCTCTGCCCAAGGGCAGAGGAGAGCACCGTGTGCTCGGGGGAGCCCAGATGTGTTGTGCAGTAGAAAGCACCCAAAACTATCATTAATCACAGATTTCAACCATAGGTGGCACCAGACTACCATTGCTGCCTTGTCGTCTGGCAACTCGGATCACTTTATGTTTATTTGTTCCTGATTGCTTTGAATCAGAGGAAGTATCTTAAGTGGTCTCTGGGAGAATTGGCATGTTAGCATTTAGCCTATTTGGGAATAAAGTTTCATATGCATGGGGGAGGTTGCTACTAGCCATAGAGAAGAGACAGGAGTGCTAATGGGAGTCCAGACCCTGTGACCTGGCTCAGATTAGTTCAATGAACACTTCTTGGAAATCTGGGGGAGAGTTCATGAGACAGCGGCTGTGTAGTTAGGTTTAAGAACTGGCTTTGAAGCCAAGAAGACCCGAGTTCAAATCCCACCTTGGACTCATATGGTATGACATTGGGAAAAAATCACTTAACCTTTCAGGATTATGGGCAATTTTCTAAGACAAAAGTTGCAGAAAGTTGGCTCCCTGAATTGGTAGGAATCCCTTCACCCAGAAATTCCAGATACCAATAAAATCATGGATCTAATTCCTCTCCCTTCTTGAAGATCACATATAGACTGGGGCTAATGGTAGTACTGTGGGAAATGCTCTTTTCAACTAATTATCAAATAGTATTGACTGTAAGACATCTAGTCCAAGACCTTGATGGAAAAACTGAGGCCCCAAGAGTTTGTGCCTTGCCCAAGGTCATACAGGTAGTAAGTGACAGCATCAGGATTTGAACCCGGGCCTTCTACTTCCAAATACAGCATTCTTAAAGAATACTACATAGAAGTCCCAGAATAAGATCCTGGTAGGGGCTTACGTGCACATATGGACAGTACTATGCTACAGCTGTAATTTAAGTTACCTTTGGAGACTAAACTTCCAAAGGCAGGACATTCCATAGAGACTGAGTCACCTAGAGATTTGTGGAGAACCAGCTGCCTGGAGTCCATGTGGCTCCTAAGGGCTCTTCTGGTCTTCCAGGCTCTCTGGGCCAAGCGTTCAACACCAAATATCTCAGCACTGAATCTTCATAGGGCAAGAATTCTTGTTCTTACGGGTTGAAGCCCTTTGGCAGTCAGATAAAACCTATAGACTTCTTCTCAAAAGAACATGTTTAAATAATTCCAGTTAGAAGTCAGTGAAAACAGAGAGATGCCATTTTTTTCCATCCAAGTTCACGGACATCCTGAACTCCTGAGATCTATCCATAGAACCCTAAGGGGTCCGTAAATCCTAGGTTCACAATTGCTATTTCAGACCGCATCGGCCTGGATCTGTGGGTCCTCTATACTTGTGGATGCTTGCTCTTTTTTTTTTTCAAAAAGAACATAAACTCTCAATGGTGGTGGTTGGCAAATATTTTCCCTAAGACATTCCTGTTATAAATTACTTGAAAAACAATTGTCTGGGACAGCTAGGTGGCACAGTGGATACAGCAGCAGCCCTGGATTCAGGAGGACCTGAGTTCAAATCTGGCCTCAGTCACATAATACTTACTAGCTGTGTGATCCTGGGCAAGTCACTTAACCCCATTGCCTAGCCAAAAAAAAAAAAAAAGAAAGAAAGAAAAAACAATTGTCTGTGTTCTCCTCCTGAAGGCTTTCTCCTCCAGGTGAGGTAGCATTTGTTCTGGGGTATTTAGTTGTATCTAACCTACTGCAGGACTGTCGAGTCTGAACCAAGGCAGCACCCAAGCCAGTAGCCATCTTTGTCCTTCCAAAGACTCCAGTAGATCTGAATATGGCCGGGGGTGAAAATCAGTTAGAAAATAGCCCATCGGCTCCAACTCCAGGCATGAGGGTAGAGGATGAGGCTTTTCCCATTCATGTCACAGAGATGCCTCTGAAATGGATTACCAGAACTTAGAAAATAAAACAACATCAATGGCTGACTTTGGCCAGGACTTTGAGGTTTGTGAAGCATATACTATGTATGTAGAGTGTCCCAAAATCCTTTAATGCATTTTGAGGCTACTAAAGCTTCCTGATTCCAAAGCTCTTTTTCACTTTGCTAACGCAGAGGACAAAAGTAAGGGTCGTGACTTGCCCTGGATCACACAAATAAGTGAGTAATTACATGGAATTTAACCCCAGGTGCCTCCTGACTCTGGATGCAGTTTAAGACACTCTAAACAATAATAACGTTACTGCTTTGGGAAAGATAAGGGCGAGGAGCAAAAGAGGTTGCCAGACCTATGATTTCTTTTGAATATCCATTAACAAGTCATCTGGAACCACCTTAGAGAGCTGCCTGGCACATTAAACAGTTAGCTAAGTGACTTGTCCAGGGTCGAACATCTACTGCATGTCAGCAATTAAACCTACATCTTCCTGATTCCAAAGCTGGTATTCTCATTCTCATTCATTCTCTCTCTCTCTCTCTCTCTCTCTCTCTCTCTCTCTCTCTCTCTCTCTCTCTCTCTCTCTCTCTCTCTTTCCCTCTCTCTCCTCTCTCCTCTCCCTCCCTCCCTCCCTCCCCCTCCCTTCCTCCCTCCCTAGGCTCTCAAGCCACTGCATCTGTTGGAAATCGTTTCCTGAAAACGCTTTTCTCAAGGAAATAATCTGATTGCAGCTGAAAAAGAAAACCACAAAGTTACAGTTCACTGTTCTTTTTTTTTTCTTTTTTGGTCTAGGCTACAAAGTGGGATGAACTTGCAAATTTGTTTTGTGAATGACAGCGGCAGTGACAAAGACAGTGATGCAGATGACAGTAAGACAGAAACAAGTCTGGACACCCCTTTGTCACCTATGGTAAGACAGCCATGGTATGGATACCCATGGAGATACTTAACTCCCCATGTGTCCTGTCACTGAGCTCACCAAGCTACCCAGTCCATTAGGAGACAAGAGTTGGTACTGGAAAGGCAGGTGAAATTTCTCATACTTCTTAAGCTCTTAGAAAATTATAATTAGTGAAGGAGGAAATTATGGTACATTAAAAGTGCAAGCAAGGTTTTAAAGTTATGCAGTGACTTTGAAATAAATACAAGCTGAATATTCTAATGCAGGAAATATATGAGGCATCATTCTCTTCCCAGGTGAGCTTGTAAGTACAAACTCCAGCCATTATTGGTTACCACCAAAAAGACCATCAGGTTAGTAGATAGAGTGTTGGAGTTGGAACCAGGAAGACCTGGGTTCAAATCCTCCCTTTGACATTTACTGTGTGACCCTGAGCAAGTCACTTAGCTTCCTCCTTAATAAAAGGAAGAGGTTGACTAGATGTCTATAAAGTCTGTTACAGCTCTAACTTTATGATCTGATACTTGGCACAAAGATGCACAAATACAAAATGCATAGAAGGTCAATTAAAGTAATTTTATGGGAGAGCAATAAGAACCGGCAAGGCTGGGAAAGGCTTCATGTAAAAAGTAGTCCCTGGGCTGAATCTTAAAGGAAAATGAAGACTCCAAAAGGAGTAAGTGAGAAGGGAGCACTGGAGGCCTGGGAAGATGCTATTCAAAGGTGATTTTCTCTATTGATGATCAGATGCTGAGAGAGGTGGTTCATTTCTGCTCATTGAGTGTCACAGTTTCTTTTGCTTCACCAAGTGTGATCCTCCCTGTTGTGCCCCGGATTGCATAAACTTTGGATTAAATTTCAGAATGCCCTTTGACTCTTTTTGTTTTGTCTGGCTACTCACAAAAAAAAAAAGAGGCTGGGTCAAGGGAAGCTTTAATCTTACAAATTCAAATCTCTCTTATAATTCATTGCATCATTCCCCTCTCATCCTGCTCAGACTGAAATCAGAAAGCTTCATTTCCCTCTGCTCCTGGCATTGACTAAAAAGGCATTTGGGGGGTTAGCTTCAGCACCAAGGACACCAAAATCATGTAGTGAGATACACAAGTGGAAAAGCGAACATTGATTCAAACCCAAAGCATTCTGACATACAAAGTTGTTGTAAAATAGAAGAGTGATTCTGCCGCTCTCTAATGGGCATCCATTTCCTGGAAGGTGGAAAAAGAAAAGAAGTTCCCAATTGTGGCTGTTCTTGTCACCCCACAGAGCAAGCAGAGCTCTTCCTACTCTGACAGAGACACAACTGAAGAGGAGTCGGAGTCCCTGGATGATATGGATTTCCTCACCAGACAAAGGAAGCTGCAGGCAGAAGCCAAGATGGCGCTCGCTATGGCCAAACCAATGGCCAAGATGCAAGTAGAAGTGGAGAAACAAAACAGGAAAAAATCTCCAGTGGCCGATCTCGTAAGTGTCCACACAGACGTTTAGAAAGCTGTAGAGCGGCCGTTGTCATCTCAGTCCTTCCCTACTCAGAGTTGCACAATCCTGGATTTCTCAATGGCATTTTTTAGAAAAGTACCCAATGTCATTGAGAAACAGGTCATTGAGATTCTTTTTGTTCCCAGGACTCTGTCTGTTGCTATATGGTAGCTATATAAGCAAAAGACTTCTCAAAAGGGAAATTGACATTAGAAAAAGGACATTTAGAACTAGAAGGGACCTTGGAAATAATCATCCAATCTCTTCTCTAGCCCATTTTACAGATAGAAACTTGAAGCCAAGAGAGATTAATATATTAGTTCAAGTCCCCATAGTGAGTCAGTAATAAAATTTCATTTTCAACCGCTCTCCTCCTCCCAAGCCAGTGTCCTTTCTGCTCTACCAAACTTTCATTTTTTCTTGTATGAATTGCTGAATTTTTGAAATTTGTATTTCTTGCTGAATTTTACTTAATATGTATGTCTTAATTGGTTTCCCTAGGTCATATTAGCCATATGTTCAGAAACTCTTGAACCCCAATGAATTTTTAAAATTCAATCTCTTAAAAATGGTTTAGTCATAAGTTATCATTCTTTGCAGTGGGGGAAATACTAGAAACCTCTACAAATGCATGAGTAAAGCAAGGATTTTCCCCATTGTTATTCACGTAGGTCTAGAAATGCTAGTAATAGCAATCAGATGGGGGGGGAATTAAAGGCATAAACACAGGAAAAGAAAAGACAAAAGTATCTCTTTTGCTGATGCCATAATGTTTTATTTAGAGAAACCCCAGAGACTTAGCAAAGAAGCTAATTGAGATAATCAATAGATTCAGTAAAGTAGCAGGATACAAAATAAATCCACAAAAAGTGTGTGGTCATATCAATTTCCTTATTTGTATATTTCATATTTCCAACCCTAGTTGTATGATGCATCAGAGAGCTCTTTACTGCTCATTTGGTTCATAGTACCCTAAGGTAGTACAGATTCCTAGATCTATCCCTTCAGAAAACTCCCAGTTTAATAATGTTACTAAAAAGCCAGTCAGAAAGTTTTTGACATAAGAACTATTCTAAAGTAGTTTGGACAAAAAGCACCTGCACACCCACTGATCCAGGGCACTGTTACTAGAGACATAAATTGAGATACTTTAAAAGTATACTTCCTAAATTAATAGTAACAGAATAGCAATACATAGTCTTCCTTTTTTATGGAATAATGGACAGTGTCCTGACCTTGAAGTAGGAAGTCTGGATTTGAATACCTTCTCACTAAGTTCCCAGTTGTATGACAAACTCTCAAGTTCCTTCTTCTATAAAATAGGGATTTTAATCTTGATCAGTCGTTTCATAGGATTGTTGAAAAGAAAGTGCTTTATAAACCTTAGAATATCATGTATTGTGAATCAGGATGATGATTATGGTGGTGGTGGTGTTGGTAATGATGTTAATGGTAGTGGTGGTGGTGGTGGTGGTGGGTGGTGGTGGTGGTGGTGGTGGTGGTGTTGGTAATGATGTTAATGGTAGTGATGATGGTGGTGGTGGTGGTGGTGGTGGTGGTGGTGGTAATGGTGATGGTGGTGGTGGTGGTGGTGGGTGGTGGTGGTGGTGGTGGTGTTGGTAATGATGTTAATGGTAGTGATGGTGGTGGTGGTGGTAATGGTGATGGTGGTGGTGGTGGTAATGGTGATGGTGGTGGTGGTGATGGTGGTGGTGGTGGTGGTGGTGGTGTTGGTAATGATGTTAATGGTAGTGATGGTGGTGGTGGTGGTAATGGTGATGGTGGTGGTGGTGGTGGTGGTGGTGGTGATGGTAGTGATGGTGGTGGTGGTGGTGGTAATGGTGGTGTTGGTAATGATGTTAATGGTGGTGATGGTGGTGGTGGTGGTGATGGTGGTGGTGGTGGTGGTGGTGGTGGTGGTGGTGGTGGTGGTGTGGTGGTGATGGTGATGGTGGTGGTGGTGGTGGTGGTGGTGGTGGTGGTGGTGGTGATGAGTGGATTTCTTGGGGCAGCTGATTGATCAAGCAGTCCTATTTAAGTCTCTTTCCCCTTCCCTTCCTGATCTTTAGCTGCCACATATGCCTCATATAAGTGAATGTTTGATGAAAAGAAGTTTAAAACCTACTGACCTGAGAGACATGACCATTGGGCAGCTACAAGTGATAGTCAATGATCTCCACTCCCAAATAGAGAGTAAGTATAAGACACGTCATGTTGTCCAACTGAATTCAACCTTTATTAAGCACCTGCTATATGCAATATAGTGTACTAGGTGCTGGCAGAGAGATGTTTAGATAAACCACAGTCTTGATCTTCCTTGAACTGATAGTCTGCTAGAAGGACTTGACATGTAAATAAATAGTTATGCCTTGAATTAGCTATGTGAGGAAACATTGAATGTTTTAAGATGGAGCTGAGGATAACCTAGATATCTTTATCATAGTAATTTGACAAGTATATGAGTACCCACTTAGGTGTTCATCTGTTCGTATGAAGGGGACAGGGACTTCTGGCTGAGATAAGAGTGTAAAAATCTCAGAGGAACCCAGGTCTAGGCCATTTTGACTTAAGGGATCTACAAAGGGCACCAGACCGAGCAATGCCCAAGAAAACCAAAGAGAAACATCAGAAAGCTCGTTCATCCTGACCGAGACAAAAACAGAATGAGAAGCTGCAGTTGCTGAAAGATGGGACCTATCAGAGAAGGCAGCACAAAATCAGATGAACTGATCACGGGCCTACGGCAGAGGTCTGACTAGAGAAGCCCCTGCAGGAGGGAAAGAAGATCCTGGCATCATCTCAGTGAGGGAAGCCCCAGGGAGGGGAGTAAACTCTAGTAGGACCCTGACCAGGGATAACCAGCCACCCACCTCTGACCGGGGATCTGGTGCCTGGACAGTACTCAGAGGGCAGACACAACAAAAGTGGCAGCCAGAGGCAAGCGCCCAGGAAAATAGGCTCAGAGCCAAACGGGACCCGAGCACTTCATTCAAGAGTGTAGGAGAAGGTGGAGGCCCTAGCAAAAAGTCCTGAATCAGGAGCTGAGGCTCAAAATACGAAGAAACCCAAAGAACCTCACTGACCGCTATGGAGAAGCATTATGGATCGAGACATAAACCCGGAAGAGGATAATTCCACAACACTGATGATATAATGGGAAGTCAAGACATAAATAGTACATTAGAATCCTGATGGCTTCAAAGGTCACAGTGGAAATCAAATAGGAAAAACTGGAGGGACTGGTAGTTGGTTTTTTTCTGTTTTGATGACCTTAACCAAGGAAATAAAAGGGAAGTATGTATGATTGTAGGGAAGAAATGAGGAAGAGAGATGCAGTACTTACTATTTCTTATAATTGGGGTGTGTAAGAAGAATATACATAATGTGAGAAGGAGTAAGGTGCAGAAATAACATTCACTTCATTCTTATCTAGACCAAACAAAAGAGTTTTACACACACACACACATGCACACACGCACATGCACACACACATACAGAGTTTAGTGTATTACAACGTTTAATTAAAGAGGGAAACAAGTTAAGGACAGGTAATAAGAAATTTAAGAGGAAAGATAAAGTTGGAAGGACCATAGCCACAACTACAACAAACTTCAGTTTTGGCAGACAGATAATAACCAGAGGTCTAAAAGCGGGGCAGAGGTATAAGAACCCAGTGAATGATGAGAATCTGGGCCAGGGAAATAGATGGCACAGTGGATAGAATACCAGGCCTGATGTCAGGAAGATTTATCTTTCCTGAGATCAAATCTGGCCTCACACACTTACTAGCTGTGTGACCCTTTGTCACGTAACCCCATGTTCCTCAGTTTCCTCATCTGTCAAATGAACTGGAGAAGGAAAGGGCAAACCACTCCAGTATCTTTGCCAAGAAAATCCCAAATCAAGTCACGAAGAGTCAGGCACAACTGAAAATGACTGAACAGCAACAACAATGGAATGACAATAAATAATTTAAATAATTGGAGAAATACTCATTATTCATACTTGAGCCATGCCGGTACGATCAAATGTAAACATTACCTAAATTTATTTTTTCGGTGCTATGCCAACCAAACTGCTGAAGGGTTACTTTGTAGAACTAGAAAAAAATAATAACAAAATTAATCTAGAGGAGCCAATGGCCAAAAATCTCATGAGGAAAATGGGGAAAATGGGAAAGAAGAGGATTTAGCAGTCCCAAAAAGCAATTATCAGCTAAGCTATTTAGTGCTAGTTAAAAATAGCAAAGTAGATCAGTGGGACAGATCAGAAACACGCTTCAGAAGTGCATGAGCATGACAGCACAGAGTGAGGAAAAACAGAGTTCCCAAATACTGATGGAAGAACTCATTATTCAATAAAAACTGGGGGTAAAACTGCAAAACAATGTGGCAGAAATTTGGTTCACATCAACATTTCACACTATATCCCACAACCAGCCTCAAAAGATACCTGACCTAAATACAAATCGATTAGGAGATAAAATTATGGGTAAGAGCTCTTGACCAAACAAGAGACCAAGAGAAAGCCATGTTTTAGTACAACTATTCTGTGAACAATTTGGAATTAGGTCCAAAAAGTCACTAACTTGTACACATTGTTTGACCCAGCAATACTTCTGCTAGACTGATATCCCAAAGAGTTCAAAGAAAGAAGGAAAATCCCCATCAGTACAAAAATACTCACAGCATTTTTTGATGTAGCAAAGAACAGGAAAATGAGGGTCCATCAGTTGGGGGATGGCCAACCAAGTTCTAGCATATGAATGGAATGGAATGTTCTTGTGCCTTAACAAAAGGTACAAGGGGCAGTTAGGTGGCACAGTGGATAGAGCATCAGCCCTGGGGTCAGGAGGATCTGAGTTCAAATCCAACCTCAGACCCTTGACACTTACTAGCTGTGTGACCTTGGACAAGTCACTTAACCTCGACTGCCTTGCCTTTCCCCCTTCCCTCAAAATGTACAGTTCAGAGAACCCTGGGAGGACTTGTATAAACTCAAGGAGAGTTAAGTGAGAAAACCAGGAGGAGCATTCATACAAAGTCTGCAGTATTATAAAGAAAAGTGTTCAAATACTTGCAAACTCTCATCAAGGCAATATGAGAAGAATGCTCTTGGCAAGCCCAGCGTCAGAGGAGTGGTGATGAAACCTGCTTCCTATCTATTTACATCGATAAACTATTTGGAGCTCAGAGGAAAAAGAATCAGGTTCAATAAAATGTATGTAAATAAAGCTGCCAATTCTCTATCTGGGAATGATTTTCTTTTCTTAAATTAAAAAAATATATAGTTCACAGTTTCCCTTCACAGAGAATAAGTGACAACCAATGCCAGTCACAGAAGAGCTTTCAAGTCCATTCCACCATTTTCCTGTTCTGTTCTTCGCCGTTCGTGAGATCACAGAGTTGGTGTCTGGTCGTTTTTGAAAGATCCGCATGAGGTTCTAGTTCGTAGACTCTCCATGTCGGAAGGGGTCTCAGAGACCAGTCTAGTCCAACCCACGCCTCGCCAAGAATCCCAGCTACAGCATACCCAGCAAGTGGCCGTCCCGTCTTTTCTTGAAGGCCTCCAAAGAAGGGGAACCCATTACCCGCAGTGGCAGCCCCTTCTTCTTGGGCATAGCTCCTGCTGTCGGGATGTTCAAGTCACATTGGATCTTGAATTAACATTGGTGCTATTTATAATTTTAGAAGCAAGTAGCCAGTCTGTAAGTATTTATTATGTTCTTGCTTTGTACTAGACACAATGCATGAAGGAATGAAGGAATGAATAAATGAATGAATGAAAAAGTGATGTGCAAAACACTCTTCTAAATGTGGGAGATACAGGTAGTAAAGTAAGACAGTCCCTGCCCTCAGGAGGCTCTCTAATATAGGGAGACCACAAATACAGATGGTCCAGGGGACGTCATTTTCCTCCCTTGGCACACGGTGCCCCTGTTCTTTCCTTCAGGGGACCTTGATGCTTTAGCCAGGCCCATCTGCCTGTGCCAAACTATAAGGACACAAACAAAACCAAAAACAGTCCCTGCCCTCAAGGAGCTTACGTCTCAATGGGAGAGACAACATGTAAATAAACAAGATGTGTGCAGGGTAGACGGACAGCAACCTTAGAGGAGAAGGCAGCTGGGGAGACCTAGAAAGGCCTCCTGAAGAAAGCAGTATTTGATCTGAGTCTTCAAGTTAAGAAAGCCTGGGATTCGAAGAGGCAGGCATACATACTGCTTTTTAGATGGGGGTGCATATTTAAAGCTGAGACTCTGGGGGTCCGTATGTTCTTTGGGCCCCCTGCCACATGGAGGTCCTCAGGTGGAGGTTAAACCTACAAGCCTAGTTCTATTGAGGCGAAACCCTACGGCTCCCTGGGAGAATTCTTGTTGTGGAAAGAGAAAAACATGCCACTTACCCGGCCCTTCCGGTAGCGCTGGCCAAGTGAGCACATGTGACTCTTACTCCATAAGGGCTGGAATTATTCCCACAGATGTGGCTTTTATTCCAGGGCCTTGCTGTTGTTTTTCTTTCGGGCCTACCTTCTCCCAAGAGGCTAATTAAGTTCTTCCTGCTGTATCTCCAGTTTCAGATGGTAGCACTAATCTGATATTTCTTATTTCTTTGTAACATCATTCTTGCTGGGAGGCTGACTACATGCATCTTTCCCCAGGGTGACTTTAAGGGTTAGGAGCAGTGGGTCTTAATAGAAGACCATCAGGCCTCAGACTCTCATCACGAAAGTGGCATTCTTCTTTTCTCTCTCCCAACCAGAGGAACATTGTAGTGATGCAACCTTCCTATTTCTCATATTAGACTCAGTGTCCATACTTGTACAGGATTCAGGAGCATAGCAAGTAGCAAGACTTACACATTCAACAAGTGTGAAGGTGTGCAGAATCATCTCAAACCAAAGTGACTCGAGAAGGTACACGCACTGGAAAAATCAACTGTACAAGTATAGCCATTTATCAACATAGAGATCAGAGTTCCAAGATCCCGCAAATTAGAGTCTCTAAAATTGAAAGTCCTGGGTAAATAATCTCTTGAGGGGTCCCTGTAAATAAGAAAGGCTCAATTTTTTATCCCAGCCCAGGCCTCTTCATGTAGTGAATGGCTGAGAGAATTCCTCTCTCAGAGCCAGGATGCCCCAACTGCCCCCTCAGGATTCTAAGGTACACTGAGGGATTTGAGGGGGGTCTCTTTTTCCACCATGATTACCACAAACTTCCACCAGCAGTGTTCCCTTCATTGTTAGGGGCCCAAAAACTAACACCCAGTTCCATTTAACCACTTAATACAGATAGCTATAACAAGAGGGATATTTACCTCAAAGACATAGCGAGAACAAACATACAAATATGTCTCCTGAACATATCAGTCATACTCTACTCTATTCCACTTTGGTCTCTCGTGGGAAGCTCATAATTTACCTCAGTTCCTTCATAGCATTGGTCCCACCAAAGCCAAAATCTTTGCTGGACGAGTCCCTTTCTGAGCTTCCACTGGACTGGAGCCCTGAAGGTCACTCTTTGCTTCTCAGAGCATCATTGCTTCACTGGGTCTCGAACCTAGACCTTGGAATTCTAGGATTCTGAAGCACCATCTTGGACCCTTTGAACTCACAAGATGTTGGTGTCTTCACTCCCTTCACCTAGAACCAAGAAGAATAAACATAGATTCCAAGGACCAAGGCCATATGGCTTCAGAGAAGACCCAACATCTTTCCTCTTACAGGCTGGTCTCTTAGCAGATGCTGTGAACAAGAGTCAGTAAGACCCCCCAAGAGTGAATGAAGCCAAAGAGCAGCAATGGTGCTCTGAACACCAGGTGGTTTGAAAACTTTAATGTGGTCTCAGCTCTTTTTGAAACAAATTCTTACCTTTTTTCTTCCCCCTTAACAAGCTATTTTCTTAATAGAAATTTCTTTTCCCACTTTGGTAGCGCTGTACTTTTTTTTAATCTCCTGACTCTCTTTCTTTCAACATTGTTATTTGGAACACAATTTCCTGGTTGGGGGAACTGGCCACATGTATTATAAAAATTAAATGCCAGACCAGTCCAGAGCACATCAGATCAGACTAGACCAGACCAGATCATACCAGACAACACCAGACAACACAGCCCAAAACGGTATTTATTAAATGCCTACTATGTACGGAGCAGACAGAACATGCACATTGTTGACATTCATGGCATACTTGCATCTCCTCTGAATAGGTGACTATATCAGGAATAATTCCATTCAGTCGCAGTAGCATTTACTAAATGTTTAGTTGGTACCGTACAATGAGCCTGACTGGGGAGACAAAAGACCTGAAGGAATTTGTGTTCTATTGAGTACACTCTGCTGAGCTGAAATTCTGTATTTACACACGTAAGCTCTTTGTCCGTCGTTCCTGCAGAGGACCAACACAGATAAATTAAATGAATATAAATAAATAAAAGTGATTTCTCCACGAAAGAATCACTTAGCAACTGAGGAAATCTGGAAAGGCTTCTTGGAGGAGAAAGCCTCTGAGCTGCACCTTGGAAACTGAGTTTCCACGAGGCAGAGGTGAGGATGGGCAGCATTCCTGGCCTTGTTTATGCAGTCGAATTAACTAAAATAATGTAAATGAAGAAACATACTAAAAACTAACTGAAGTCAAGTCCGTTGCAATGGTCAATGTTGGTTCATACGACCAGTGTAAAAGCATTCTTGCTTTCTTTCTTTTAAGGAAGAGGTCAGCAAGCTGACTTGAGGGCCAAATGTAGCTCCCTGCCTGTTTTTATACCTCCTGCTGCCCATTTTCGTACATCCTACAAGCTAAGAATGATTTTACATTTTAAAATTCAACAAAATTTTATTTTCAAATGTTTGCTGACTCTTGTTTTCAGAACTGGTCAGCTATAAGTTTGGAATATTACATGCTCTACCATTCCCGATTGCTATGTCAGATATTTGCCTAACTGTTATTCATTGGTTTGCCTGTTTGTTTTAAGGGAGTGGGGTATTAGAAAGGGATTATTGTGTCAAAACAAGATACATCAATAAAACTGTCCTAAAGTGCTATCGTCCTGGAAATACCCTGGAAGCCTGGCCAGCCATATCACTACAGCTACCTTGAAATCTTCATGCTAAAAGCAAAAGTCAGTGGCTTGGGGGTAGAGAGCAGTAGAGCCTTCAGGGACCCCTGGCTGTGATAAATAGCGGCCGTTCTCTTCTCCCCCACGCGGTTCTGAAATGAAAGGAGGCGTCGGGCTCCAGGCTCACACACCCTTTCACGTCTTGATGCTGGTCTGTCTTTGCTTCGGTCCCAGGCTTGAACGAAGAGCTGGTGCAGCTGCTTCTCATCCGAGATGAACTACACACAGAGCAAGACGCCATGCTGGTTGACATAGAAGATTTGACTAGGTGAGTGTGGCGGGCAATAATGTGATTTCTAGCCTTTGTGCTATGGACTTACTGTATCACTGCCACCACTCCCGGGAGAAAGTGAGTTCCTTGAGGGCAGGAACCATTTCACTGCTTGTCTTCGTACCCCCGGTGCCCAACATGGCATCTGGCACATCGTAGGCACTTGTGTGGACTGGATTGGATTAGGGCATCTCAGAATTCCTTCTGTAATGATAATAACAGCTAACATTTGTATAGCACTGAGTATATGCCAGGTGTTATGCTACGCACGTTACAGATTTATCACACTGATCCTCAAAACAACCCAGAAAGGTAGGTGCTGTTATCATTCCCATTTTGCAGATGAGGAAACTGAGGCAAACAGGGTGAAGGGATTTGCCCAAGATCACACAGCTAGTAAGTGTCTGAGCCCAAATTTGAACCCAGGTCTTCCTAACTCCAGTCCAATGCTCTGGCCACAATACCACCATGCTCAGGACACAGTTTGTGTGTGTGTGTGTGTGTGTGTGTGTGTGTGTGTGTGTGTGTGACAATATTGGCTATTTCTCTACGGAAAAGACAGATTTTTTTTAAGGCCTCGTAAAAAGCATCCCCTCTGTGACTGCCATTTTCAGCTCCTAGTCCTGACTAAATGCATTGCTTTCTTAGCCACCGCAGAAGCGGGGTCCATTTTCATTGTATCACAACCTTTCAGGCAGCCCCAGGTCCTAGTATGTACAGACAGACTCCCCAGTGGGACCTCCACTGATTCCATCAGACAGAACTGTCCCCAGTAAGGAAGGGGCCCTGAGCCCATGCAGGAAGGCCATGGAGGCCACCCTCCACCTCCTTCTTCCCCATGCATAGGAGGTAGCCTTGGAAAGAGCCCTGCCTGGCCCTGGCTTCTACCAGGCCCAGCACCTGCTGACAGATTGCGCTTCCTGCATGGTGAATCTCAAACTAGAACCTCTCATTTGGCCTGAGCTGCAGCAGCCTCCCTGCCAAGGGGTAACAAATGCCTCCCTCCCCCAGACACAAACAAAGTATGTCAAAGCTAGTCAGATGGCACGGTTCTTAAGCTCACCCACAAGACGCATGACCATCACAGGGGACACAGGACACTGAAATGCTCCAAGAGGCTATTTGGGCAGTGTGTAGGATGCCTCCTTCCCCAGGGGCCCAACCTGATTGGTCTAGAGAAAGAGGCAGAATTTCTGAGATGACCACTACATATACACAGTCTGCTGCCACCCCAAAGAAACTTAGCACCTGCCTGACTCACACCCCTCTCTTCACAGACGAGGAAACAAGGTTGCCCAAGTGCCCACAGGGCAACAGCATGAAGACTAAAAGTCCAGGTCTCCTATCCCCTAGCCAAGGGCTGGCTCTACTAATGAGGGTCCAGGCAAGCAGAATTAGTGGGCAGCAAGGGGTAGTGGAAAGAGCCCCAAACTCAGAGACAGAAAACCTGGCTTCCATTTCTGACTACGTACTTACTAGTCATGTGGCCTTGGGCAAGTCACTATTTGAAAGGTCTCTATAAAATGAGGGGTCTAGGCGGTGTAGTGGCTAGAGCCCTAGGTTTGAAGTCAGGAAGACCTGAGTTCAGATCCTGCCTCAGACCCTTACTAGCCATGTGACCCTGGGCAAGTCACTTCTCACCTCTGTTTGCCTCAGTTTCCTCACCTGTAAAATGAAGACCACATTGAGCTTTGATCTACAGATCCAGCCCAGTCCAACAGGCATGTATTAAGTGTCTACCACTGTGCCAATCATGAGAACCAGAGACATAAACAAAGCATTGGGCGGGGGGAAAACGACACAGAAACACATATGTCTAGACATGGTGACTCAGAGATAAGGAGGGCACCCGCAGCAAGGGGGATCATGGAGGGGTGACTGGAGGAGATGAGCTGAGCCCTGAAGGAAGCCAGCAAGTTTGGGAGAGGGAGCATCCCCGGCATCAGGCAAGCTTGGGCAAAAGTGCTGAGGCAGGAAATAGGTAGTCCAGTTTGTCGGGGAAAAGGTCGTGTGAAGGGAACAACGGATAATGAGTTTGGAAAGACAGGCAGCAGCCGTATTGTGTGAATGCCCTACTGCACAGTGTGTGCTTGAGCAGGGAGGGATGCGATCAGACTGAAAGGCGTGATGAGGCTCATCCGTGTAGCGCCTGGATTGGGAAGGAGAGAGGTCAGAAGCCTGGGGTCCAATTAGGAGTCGTTTGCACAGTCCAGGTGAGAGGATAAATAGAACATTTGTCAAGAGCATGCGTCTAATTAGTTTACATGGTCTAGAATTCTTTCAGGGAAGAGAGTGAGAAAAACTACAAAAATAATGCTCAGGGCACTTAGCGTGGTGTCTCTTCTCTGACTATGTCGAGCTTGTTAAATTAATTTTTCTAATAATGGCGACTTCAGTAACATCCTACTCCCGGGCCTCATGGTGGTATGGAGAAGATCTTGGATTCTTACAGGCTGCACTCATAGAGAAAGGTTCTGCCTTACTAAGAAAGCTTCAGGGATCAGCCTGGAGGGGGACTGTAGGCTCGGCATTCGAGGACCAGCCTAGGGTGGATGTGAAGGGCTTGTTATTTGGTCAGCTACAGGGCAGTGAAGGTTTGGGCCACAATAATTGCCCAGGACAAGTTACAGAGTCAGTCCTCATACCTACAGGTACCCAGATCCTTGAAATACTGAAAGACTGAAGATGATGTGAAAATAAATGGGTAACCAAAGACATGTGGTATGGCTTTGGCCAGGTTTTCGCTAGGATAAACAAAAAGTATTTCCTTTTGTGTGCTTCACATTTCTCACGGTCTCATCTCTAAAGGCAAAATATGCAAAAATTTATCTTCGTTCCCTTCTCATGACTTAGCCTGAGTGCTAAATCCCAGGATATAATAATAATAATAATAATGATAATGATAATAATAATAATAATAATAATAATAATAGCACCTATTTTTAACATTTTTAGATTTGCAAAGTACTTTAAATATGCTCTCATTTTATTTTCACAAAATCCCTGGGAGGTAGGTTATTATTACTCCCCACTTTACAGATAAGGAAACTGAGGCAGGGAGAAGGTAAATGACTTCCCCGAGGTCACACAGGTAGTAAGTAAGTGACTGAGGCTGGATTTTAACTCAAATCTCCCAGACTCCAAGTTCAGTGTTCCATCCACTGTACCACCTCACTGCCTCATGATAAAATAGAATCTTTCTTTTCAATCAGTCGGGTCTTTATAAAGCGTCAACAACGTGCCAGGCACTGTGTTCGGTACTGGAGACAGAGGTACAAAGAATGGTGTAATTGGATGGGGAGTGAGCTTGTACTTTATGGCACAAATCTAGACTGAGAACCACAGTGATTCCTGTTTACTGATTAAATGTTACTGGTAGAACGTCTCCTTTTCACCCACTAGGAGTCAGGCACCTTGGCAGGTGCTGGAAGTAGAGAGACAAAAATGAGTCCCTGCCCTCGAGGAGCTTATAATCTTCTGGGGTGGGGTTGGAGGTGAGGGAAATAGAACATGCATCTGGAGTGCCCTATAAAGTAGGAGGTTCAGCCGGGACCTTCTGAAGGAAGGACAGGGACCTGAGCCATCCTTTGAAAGAGCAGAAGGAAACCCACACACCGATGCTGAGAAGGAAACAGTTTACTGGTACCGTGTAGACCCAGGACCTCGCAGTCAATATATCTTCTTTAAAAAAATTTTAATAGCACTTAATGTAGATCTGATATCAGGAAGACCTGAGTTCAAATCTAAGCACAGATATTTAATAGCTATCTGACCTTGACGCGGCTGGGTGGTGCAGTGGTTAGAGCACCGAGCCTGCAGTGTTCAACTCTAGACTCAGTGACTTACTAATTGTATGACCCTTGACCTCTGTCTGCCTCGGTTTCCTCAACTGTAAAATGGAGATAATAATAACACCTACTTCCCAGGGTTATTGTAACGATCAAATGAGATAATATTTGTAAAGTTCTTTGCAAATCTTATTGTTACTGCTATTATTAATACTTTTTTTTACAATATGGTGGGTTTATATGGATATAAAATCCTTGCCACCCTTACCATCCCCCAATAAGTGAATTTCCCTCAGAACAAAGACAGTGACACCAACGTAACCAACACACAGAGTTGTGCCTTCTAAAAGATGTCTGCGCACGGACACCTTCGAACCCTCAAAAGCTGATGAATTCTGACAGTGAGAAGAAAGAGCCCTTCTCAACACACTTGGAACAGCACTAGCAGTTCTTAATTTCAAAAAGTGGATTAAGAGATGATCAGTATTCTTTCCTTAGTCGTTTATAATTGCAGCATATTTCACGTTCACTTCCCAGCAGAAAGTACTGGAGAGACCGAGGCTAAAAAGATTTGTTTCAATGGCACTGGAATGGAGGTGTCCTGATAAGCTAAATGTAAACCTCTGGTGACAAATAGGGACGAGGTATCAATTCCATTCAACAAACCTATTAATCGTATTATTCTATATGTGTGACAATAAGTATTCGTTAATCAAATTATACTAAATTAATTATTAAGCATTAATCTATTTATTATAATATAGTGTATAATATACTATATTTTAATATTATATATAATTAATTATTCTACTATATTTTAACATCATGTATTATAATTGTACACCATTAATTATTATGCTATATTCTAATATATTATAATTATATGTCATTATACTATATTTTAATACTATATGTTAGAATCACATATCATTGTTATGCTATATTTTAATATCATACGTTATAATTGTCAATAATTTACAACTTAAAATATAATGTGATGAATATATAATTATAAATTTACAAAGCACTGGGGATAGATAAAGAAACATTTCTGTATCTCAAGGATTTATATTCCATTGGGAGGGATGTGACACACATCTAGCTAAGCATAATACAGTGTGGGGATTTGGAAGAGAAGGATTGACAAGGAGAGATGTAGTCAAGCCACTTGTGAATCCTTGAAGAGGGAGAGGGGATCAGGGAAGTCTTCATAGAGGAGGTGGCTCCAGAGATGAGACTTCAAGGAAAAGGAGGATTATGATAGGTAAAGATAAGAACAAATCGGGGAAGGCAATGACATTTGCAAGTGCTTGGAGGTGGGAGATGACATAGGATTGTAGATTTACAGCTGAAGAAAGCACAGAAGTGGTCTGATCCAAATCCTTCCTTGTGCACCTTAGGAAAATGAAGTGCAGAGTTCACCCACGGTCACTTGGTAAATAGCGGAGCCCTTGGTCCTTTGATTTCAGAGCCACCATTCCCCACTAGCCACCATGCCTCTTAAGTTCATACTGAGTCCTTGAAACCACTAGTAGTCCAGTGTGTCTGGAATCTAGACGGTATGAAGGAAATTAAGGTAAAATAAACAAGAAAAGCAGATTGGAGCCCTACTGTGGGGCAGCACCAAGAGTGCCAAGCAGGCTATGGTTTATCCAAGCAATAGGGAGCCACCAGTGGTTCCAGGGCAAGGGAGCAACCCTATCCAATCTGTGTCTTAAGAGAAACAGGCAGCTGGGAAGAAGATAGATCAGAAAGGGGAGAAACTGGGGGCAGAGAGACCACCAGGAGCTGATTACAGTAATCCCAATGAGGCTCCAATAGCCATCCAAAGTAGAGAATGGGGGCAGGTGATAGATGTGTAATTTTAAGGGATTGTAAAAGTCATCTAGCTCAACCTCCTCATTTTACAGATGGAGAAACTGAGACTCAGACAAGTTAGATGATTTGCTCAAAGTGGCAGAGAGTCAAAGCTAGAGCTGGCATTCGGACCCACGAGCTCTGATTCTAAGGCCAGTGTTTTTCCCACTATACACACACTGCCTTCCCCCCAGCCCATGTGAGAGACAGAGTGGAGGGAGGGGTCAAGGCTGACTCTGAACGTTAGTGACTTGAGGGGCAGGGGGATGCCCTAAGCAAATGGGAAAACCTGAAGGAAGGCCAAGTTCCAAGGGAAGCATGAGGGGGTCTATTTGGGATCCAGGAAGTTTGAGGACATTGACGGGGAGGTGGCCAGCAGGCCAGCTAGAGTGCAGGATTCACATTAGCCCTACGCACATAGCTCTGGGAATGATCTGTTTGCAGAAGACAGGCCAACTCCTTGGCAGGTCATGAGATCACCATGAGGGAAAGTGTAAACAAAACAGAGGAGGGTCTAGGAAAGGGCCTTCAGAAACATCCATGCATCCATGGTTAGGGGGCAGGGGATGGAGGGTGGCCCAGCAAAGCTGAATGAACAGGAGTGGCCAGGCTGATCAGAGGAGAACCAGGAGAGAGAAGCATCACAGAAACCAAGGAAGAAGAGAGTGGCCAGGACCAGTCAGTGGTATCAGAGCTGCTGTCAAGGAGGACGAGGCCTGAGAAAATAGTCAAGACTTCAGCAATTGAGCTTTTCGTGGAAAGAAGACAACATGTTAAAATGTTCATGTTAAAGTTGCCTCATTCCCAGTGCACTGAAGTGAATGCAATATCTCCACTTCTGCTGGGGGTGATTGGAGGTGGGGGGGGGCTGTATTTACAGGGATGGGGGGGGAGTAAGTTTGGGGAAATAAATATGGTATTTACAATGTTCTTAGCAGCAACATTCCCCCAGCTAACTCCATCTTCAAGTAAATATGCAATTTGGAAGATTTCTAAAGCCTTCCATCCCATCCCATTTGCCTTTACCTCCACCCTCAGAAATTAAAAACACACACACACGCACACACACACACACACACACTAACAATGGTACGTTAGTGCCTTTGGTGTTGAGAGAACACTGTATCTGTTACAGGGGTTCTTCCTTTGATTCCTGGCTCTGACACTTAACTAGCTATATGACCTTGGGCAAGTCACTAACCATCCCTAGGCCCCATTTTCCTAATCTATGAAAATGAGGAGGTTGGACTCTGCCTCTAATGCCCCCTCCAGGTCTAAATCTGCAGTCCTACATGTTTGTTGAATTGAACTACATTGAATTAAATCGGCTGAGTCTTGGCACAGTGCCTGGCATGTAGGAGGCACTTGCTCCATGGTTATCCTCTTGACTTCCTGGCACCAAGGTCTCAGAAATGGTAGCTCATTGGGGTATCTTTCTGCTTCTGGTGCCAAGTTTTCAGGAGTCAGGCCCAGCAAAACAGGCTCTGTGTACCCCCAGAGGGGACGTGGGAATGGATGTGACGGAGGGAGCAGTCCCTTCCTTCCAGATGCCATTACTTGCTGTATGATGACCAATGTCTTTGCCCATTTTTCTGCCTGGCTTCTGGCTTCTGTCGTCCTGATCTGTCATTGCCCCCAGAGCCATGAGCTCGGGACAGGGGAGGAAGACCTCATGCATTGTCATCTTCCTTAAAGATTGTTTTATCCAGAGATGTAAACGACAGTCTCCTAAAGTTGTTCCATTTGGGGTTCACACCAATTCAACACCATCTGTGAAATCCCTCCCCAGCCACTCAAGAGCTAGGAAACAGAATGTGTCACCCCTCCCCGGGACAGGGGAGAGTTTGCCTTTCCCTTCTCAGGCCAGCCTGGCCACTTCCAAAAACCATCTGGGTGAATCCATTGTGTTTTGCTATCCTTGGGCACATTTTTTCCAAACAACATGTTTAATTAGTGCTCGTTAGCATGAGGCAAGCCTTGGACTTGGCCATTCCGCCTTCCTGTGCCCGCTGTTCAGCCTGCTGTCAGACTGGGCAGCCTCAGGCTCCCTAGTCACGTGAGAGGCTTCCTGGGCAGGAGATGCTCCAGAGCAGGGCCTCTGAGTCATTTGCTTGTGTGCATGACAAGATCATTCTTGGCTCTTTGAGCCGGGATTGGGGGGAGCGGGGCAGTAGTGGTTCTATATAAAAATGAAGATGATTGGAAACAGTAGTGCCTTTGACAATCTGATTGGAGTCAAGAAGATCTGGATTCCGTCACTTGACCTTGGAATCTGCACTATAATTTGTAAGGCCCTGAGAAGGTCAATGACATGCCCAAGGTCACATAGCTGGGATGTGTCCAGAGGCAGGTCTTGATCCCAGGACTCCCTGGCTCCAAACTCAGTCTCTGTCCACCAAAGCCATTCAGCTGAGAGGCTCAAATGAGATGTTATAGCAAACTTTAAAATAATACACAAATGTTAATTATTAGTAGTTATTCATCTTGGTAAGAGTAAAGACACATATTGACCTCCGATTCCCATCATGTCCCTTAGGTTACTTGGTCCTTTTGCCTTGTTTAATTTATTTGCAGTTGGAGTTTGAAAATTTCTTTCTCCTTGTTCTTCCCCCCCCATCCCCCACCAAAGTCAATGTTTTCTTGTTGTTTTTTTTTAATATTATTAACACTTCCCAATGACCAACCTCCCCAACCCCATAGAACTTTACCTACATCCTTTCATTCTTGGACACATCTTATAATTTTCCTTCTCACCATTAGGTTATAGACCAGGGGTCCTTAACCTGGGGTGTATGAACTGGGTTTTTTAAATATTTTAACAACGATTATTCAATATAATTGGTTTCCTTAGTGTTCCTGTGTAATTTATACATTTAAAAACATGATTCTGAGAAGGGGTGCATAGGTTTCATCAGACTGACTGCCAGAGGTTGGCCAGGTACAAAAAAGGTAGAGAACCTGTTATACACACCCTAATTAGTGGATATAACCCCACAATTGATCTACCTGCTTATTCTAGAAATACAGTTAATTGTATGGCGTAGAAACATTCCAGAAATTAAGTTGGTCTGACTAGACTGCAGTTTAGTGGTTCTTGGGAATGTATTTCTTCTTGAGCTGATCTGACCATTTGTCTAACAGGTACCATCCTTGGAAAATCAAAGAGGAGCAGAGACTTTTCCTTTTGGAACCAAAATAATGAATCTTGTGATTAATTTTACAGACATGCTGAAAGCCAGCAGAAGCACTTGGCGGAGAAAATGCCGGCAAAATGAATCCGGAGCCCCCACCAGGAGACCACGCTTGAAAACTATTGTGCTTCTGTGTTCCTAAAATGTGGATACACCCTTGGAGGGGTGCAGCAAGAAACAAAAAAATCAGTGTTAGTCAGTGATGATGTCCGAAGCTTCATGTCCAGTGATTGGCCTTTGCTTCTTAATTTATTTTCATTTTAACTCGTGCCACTAAATAGCCGGCATTTTAATAAAATACAGTTATGAGAAGAAAATGTACAGTAGCCATGCTGTTACAAACCCTGGTTGGGAACAGAGGGTAGTTTAACTTTATTTTTTATTTGTTTAGAGACTTTCAGTTGAACCCGTCCTTTCCCGTTGCCTACTTTTACTCCTCACCGTAGTTCACTCTAAAGAAAAAGCTGTCGAAGCCGGTGCTATCAAAGTCCAAACCATACCTGCCTGCCTCGTCGTGAAGTTGTAGCTTTCCGTCATCTGGATATTTTAATCAGTTTTCAACATTTTGTAAATGTTGACTACCTGACCTTCATTTTTAGATGTGCTATTAACATTCAGCTGGATTCAGAGAGTTTCCCTGAAACGTTTTATGTATAAATATGTAAAATAAAAATTGAAAATTTGTTTCATAGGATATGTCTTTTTGTTCAACAGCAGACATAGTGGCGCTCCTTCCCCTTTGCTTTCCCAAGGAGAAATTCTCCATCTTGTGGTTTTTACTACAGAGAAGCTCATTGCAGCCTGTTCCCAAACACCTACAGGGAGGCAATGAGCTTGCATGAGTTGATCTGAGTTCAAAGAAGAACTATTGCTTTGCCCAGAAAGATAGATTTTCAGAGTTGGAAGCAACTTACTGGTCATCGATCCCAACCCCAAAAGAATCTTAATAATAATAATAATAACTAGAATTTATATTGGATTTTAAGAATTACAAAGTACTTTACAAACATTATTTAATTTCCTTACAACAACACTGGAAGGTAAATGCAATAATTACCCCATTTTACAGATGAGGAAATTGAGGTAGACAGATGGGCAAGTGAGTTGCCCATGACCTCATAGCTAGTAAGTGTCTGAGGCTGGATTTAAACTCAGGTCTTCCTGACCCAAGTCCAGTGCTCCCTCAACTGGGCCATGTAGCATTAACACTTTCCCTAAAAGTAGTCATCCAGTCTTTGCCTGAAGACCACTGAAGAGGAAGGACCCGCTGTTCCTGGGCATATTCCACTTTTAAATAGTTGTAATTGATACGTTCTGGCTGTGTGATGCTGGGCAACTCAATGCCCGCAGGTAACTCTAAGACGAAGTTGTTGAATGAGTGAAGAGTTCCCTATGCTGATGAAATCATAGACTTCATCCAAAAACAAAAAGCCTAAACAATCCCTAATGAGGGCAGCAGTAGTCAGTTAGATAAACAAACAATTCGATTGAGAAATGGCATTGTCAACAGAGGCATGATCTACTAAGTTACTGACATTCAGTGGATGTTAGACACACACCCTCCTATGGATTATTGCTGTTGTACTTTATCCTTTGTTTTTGAAGAGGACTAATGACACATCAGAGGATGGGTGATGTTTTGACTCCCATGAGAACTGGATTTAAGTGAGGCAAAGTTGCACAGTCATCAGCCTCATTCTCTCTTCCTGAGCCATCAAAGTTCAAAACAAAAGTCAAGATGACTGGTGATGGCCCGGGATATGGTGGATGTACTTGGCATTTACGATGTCTGACCAAGCTCTAAGCGCTCCAGAGTATCTGCTTCAGCTGTCTTCGTGGCCATTGGAATAAATTGTGCTCATCCACCCATTCTGATGGGGAAGTCTTCACATGCTTGGAGCAGATGTCCCCCTAATTCACCAATGGGTTTGAGACCTGTCAGTTACCCTCCACCAGGCTTGTCCCACCTGCCAAGACAGCTTACCAGAGTGCGGCCACTGTGCGTGCAAACGGCTTCTTGGAGAATGACACCTCTCACCTTTTGTTGTTAAATCAGTTTCAAAAGCTGAACATTAGTTGTCTTTTTACTTTGACCAAGGTGTTTTTATATGTAAGTAACAACTGAGCTTCTCCCCCATCAGTGACCCCCATTTGATGTGTGAAAGTCAAATAGCATAGCTTCATGAGGAATATTTCTAGTATAAAACTCATGTATTGCATGCACGTGCACAACTAAACGTGTGGAAGTCCAACGGGAAACGTAACATTTCACTCAGGCTCACTCAGAGAGAGAACAAAGAGTGGAAATCGCAAAGAGGTCAAGACAACTGACTCAGGGAGTGATCCACAGGTGGAATGGGTCACCTGGGAGAGAGGGCTCCCCTCCTTGAAGGTCTTCATGTATGGACAACCACTAGACACAAATGTTGGAGGAAGTACCCTCCGACTCTGAGCTTCTGTTGGAGCAAATATTTGAGCACTGACTCGAACCCCAAGTCTAACCATGGGCTAGCACAGACAGTAGGCGCTTAATAAATGTTGAGTTGAAATGGGCAGCCAGGTGGCAAAGTGGATAGAGTACTGGGCTTGGAATCAGGAAGACTGCTCTTCCTGAGTTCAAATCTGGCCTCAGACACTCACTAGCCACGTGAACTTGGACGAGTCTTAACCCTGCTTGCCTCAGTTTCCTCATCTGTAAAATGAGCTGCAGAAGGAAATGGCAAACCACTCTAGTATCTTTGCCAAGAAAACCCCAAATGGGGTCTCCCTGCCTTTCTCTATAGCTTCGTGACTCTCAAGCTTTTTCCCTTTTTTTTTTTTAGGCAATTGGGGTTAGGTGACTTGCCCAGGGTCACACAGCTAGCAAGTGTCAAGTGTTTGGTCAAGACCGGATTCGAACTCAGGTCCTCCTGACTCCAAGGCTGGTGCTCTATCCATTGTGCCACCTAGCTACCACCAGACTCTCAAGCTCTTTCATCCCAAGGTGAAAGATCCTTTGAGCCGCCTTCTTCTCCCTCAGTCCCCATCTGAATCTCTCCCATACATCAGTAGTGGTCAAAGGTGGGGGGATAGAAATCAATCAAACAATAAACATGTATTAATCACCTATTATATGCCTGGCACACATTAGCAAAAGAAGTCATTGTCTTTAAATACCCTGGAAGAATGTCCATGGTTGGAATAGGGTAAAAGCTCTGGGAGTTTGAAGACCTGAGTCTTACTCCTGGCCCTGCCACAAAGTTGCCACTTTGAACAAAGCACTTCAACTTTCTAGTCCTGAAAGCATGAGACTTAGGATCTCTAAATCCTTATCCATCGACCTCTGTCATCCCATGGTTTTTGACAGAGTGAATAGAGCCCTGGACTTGGAGCCAGGAAGACCCAAGTTCAAATCTGGCCTCAAACCCTTACTGGCTCAGTGACCCTGGACAACTCATCTAACCTCTGTTAGCCTCAGTCTTCTCATCTGTAAAATGGGAACAATAATAGCATTTATCTCACAGGAGCTATTGTGAGACTCAATGAAGGCAATATATATGAGGTACACTTTAAAGAATTACAAAAATGTTAGCTGTCATTATTAACTCATGGTCCATAATGATGGGACCATCATACTTGGAGACCCACACTCCTGCCAAATCTTAACCCCTGGAAGGAACAGGCTTCCTTCTGTATTTACATTCATTTCTCCACCAATGAGATGTAACATTCATCCCAAGGTAGCTTGATAGATAATGAATCTTTCGGGATACTTTAATAGAGTCATATATTCAGTTGTCAGTATAAATTAATATTTTAAGTGATATAAGTTAATGTTCTGGCTCAGCACCAATTAAAATGACCTTTTAATTACCAAGAGAGAACCCAAAAGGATCTGGCTTCAGAGCACAGATGAGAAATCATTCACCCGAGGCTAATTGGTTGTAAGAAACAAACTACTAGGTGGCCAAGTGGATGGAGAGAACAGAAAGACTGAGTTCAAATCTTGTACACGTAGTAGCTGTGTGACCCTGGATGAGTCACTTCCTTGTTAGCTGCCCCAGTTTCCTCAGCTATAAAAAGGGGATAATAATAGCCCCTATAGGTCTCAGGGCTGTGGTGAGGATCAAATGAGAGAATACGTGTAAAGTGCTCGGCACTACATAGTTGGTGCTTAATAACTGTTCTCTTCCCACTCTGTCTTGGAAGGAGAGGAAAAGTAGGTACTCGTATATGTGGAATAGGGGATGTAACTCATGAAATGGAATTTGAACCCTGGCTCAGCCAAGTACTGCTTGTGAGTCCTTGGCCAAGTCATCCAACCTCAAGGAGGCTCGTGGCATCTGGATCCAGGGGAGGACCTCAGACGCCAGCCTCCTCTCCTTCCATTCTACAGAGGAGGAAACAGCCACCAGGAAGGGCTAATTGATCCACCTGCTACCCAACAGTCGTCAGACAGGTGGTAAATTACAGAGTGTGGATTTGAACCCAGGCCCTCTGCTTCCCAAACCATAGGCTTTAGAGCCTGAAAGGGCCATAGCAGCCATATTGTCCGGTCCTCGTTCTTCTACAGATCCAGAGAATGGAACCCAGGCAGGTTACGAATTCTGCTGTACTTCGGTGCCTTCCAGGTCTCAGTTTCCTCATCCACAAAATAAGGAAACTGAAATAAATGCTACCTAAGGGCGCTTCTAGGGCAGCTAGACAGGGGATGAGGCCTGGAGTCAGGAAGACCTGAGTTCAGATCCAGCCCTTGGACAATAGCTATGTGACCCTGGGCAAGTCACTTAGCCCTTTCTGCCTCAGTTTCCTCATCTCTAAAATGAGCTGGAAAAGGAAGTGGCAAACCACTGCAGTATCTTTACCATGAAAACCCCAAATGGGGTCATAAAGAGTCACACATGACTGAAAAATGACTGAACAACAATAAAGGTCACTCCTACCTCTAAAGTCCTGTGAATCCATTTCCCTAACCCAAACACAGAGAAAGGGTTGGTTAAGGTGCTAATTAATCAAACTACCTATTTCCCCCTTTACTGTGGTTAGAAGGACTTTTTTTTCCTTATCTTCAGATTTTTCCCTCTTTAATAAGAAATTGTCCTCAGGCAATGTGGGAAACGATGGTGTCTGGCTCTGGTGTGAGCCCTGCTGAGAAAGATCTTGCATTTTTTGCTTCCTTACTCAGAGAGAGGTGTGGGTCCTTAGAAACATGGAGCCCTAACTAGATCTCTCTCTAGTTGGTTAAAAAACAGCTGATTGACAGAAGGCATGGCTGGAGTGGCAGAAAATAAAAAAGATTCTAGGGGCAGCTAGGTGGCACAATGGGTAAAGCACTGGCCCTGAAGTCAGGGGGACCTGAGTTCAAATCTGGCCTCAGATGAAACACTTGACACTTACTAGCTGCATGACTCTGGGCAAGTCACTTAACCCCAATTGCCTAAAAAGAGAAAAAAGAGATGATGCAAGTAGCCATGCAAAGAGAGGGGACAATGTGGTCCCCAGCCCTGGGGAGGTTAAGGGTGAAAATAAATCCCAAGAGAGCAACATCACAGGCTATGGTGCTGGACCCCAAAGGAAGACGGTGCTAGTTCTCCAGGGAAAAACTGCCCCTTCCCACAAGGAAACATGGCGCCACCTTGTTGGTCTCCTGGGACAAAGTCTTGTTCACCCTGTGATAGTTACGGCTTTGAGGCTAATGCTGCAACTCACATC